GTTAGACAGTGACAGCACGCGACCGCAATTTCTCGGAGTGTCAACGACGAACGGCGTGTTGGGGTCTGGATAGGCCTTTCTCCGCTGCCTCTTTTCTCTCTCTCTCTCGCTCTGTTCTCGGTGTATGTTTCCTTCTCTTTTTCTCTACCAAGAGCCTTTACTATCCTTCGTTACTCAAGCGCGCGATTCACCACCTAACGTCTGAAAACACACCAGGTGATTGCGTTGCACGTAATAGTTACACTTGCACTTTCGGCTCGCCGCGGCGGCGGGTACCAAAGCAGCGATGGACGCGCAGCCGTAACCGACGCCGTACAGAAGTGAAACACGAAGAAATTGTTATCGCACATGATCGTTTCTTTGTTGTTTTAGAGCATCACATTTTCTTTTAACATTCCGCGATTTTTAATTGCAATTCTTATAAATTATTTAACGAGTTTTTGTGAAAAATAAATTTCTTAGAATCGTTTCTTTGGGAAGCAAATATTGTCACTCGAAGTGTTGTTTTGATGACGTAATTATTAGGTTTGTTTCTATAATTTTGACATATATTATTTAATATAAGAAAAGAAACGAAGATTTTATCATTAATATGTTGATTTGCAGCTTGCGTGTTTACCGTAATATAAACTCAAAATAACAATAAGTGACGGAAGAGCCAAAGAACTTTTATATTTGAACAAAGAGAGGAGCCGAGTCTTCTGAATCCGTCACTGTGACATCGCACGCGTAAGCCATATTCGTTAGACTTTCCTACGGTGCCGTTTTACACGGCCGCGAGTCCGACGCGATGTATCAACGATGGTCCCCGGCTTTTAAAAGACACTTTCACGATCGGTATCCGTAAGATTGGACGTGTTCCAGTGAACGCAATTGCTAGCGTCGTCGTCGTCGTCGTCGTCGTCGTCGTCGTCGACTTTGTCATCTTTATCGTCATAGTTGTCATTGCCGGCGTCGTTATATCACGTCCAGATTTAACCCTTCGCGCGCGTGCAGACCGACGTGGCTGCGTTACGCTAACATATTATGTTCCCGCGATTATCGTAAAAATCATTATGCAACCAGCAGATAGCGTACTCCGGCGTTTATTTGCGCAAGTAGATAAAGCCGAGACGACCTCGCACCACCACGACGCGCATCAGCGACTTTTTCCACAAGGAATATATTCGCCGTAAATATTTCTTTGCATTGTCTTCCGTGCAATACGGCGTGGTAAATTTTCCGAGATACTCACGGAATACACAGCGCAAATTACCAGTTCAACGAGTAAAAATAAATTTTTTTATACAATCGCGCATAACGCGGCATGTGCGCGGAAAGTGCTTATCATTGCCTCGCGATTTTATCTCGGACATCGTAAATATAGACGACGCAAGCAGGTGCATTCTAGTCTAAATAAAGACACTGACCTACAGTGCATCGTGCGTTCTCAGGAACCACAGAAACGATGCGTCTCTGAGAGTTCTTCTCGAGTTTGTTCGTATAAAACGGAAGCGGAAACGGTCGCCGTGGTCTTGAATGTTTTCAAGGTTCAATCTCGGAATTAAAAAAAAAAAAAAAAAAAAAATGCGGACTCGGATCTCTATCCAATTAAACCGTTGTAGCTTTGAAGCACGATTATGCGGAATTACACAAGAACATTGAATATACGTAGCGCGTGAAATTAAATTATCCGAAATATGCGGTCTATTGATGAAAAAACAAATTAAAGCGTATAGTATGACAATTGTATTAATAATTATTGTATTGCTCTCTCTCTCTCTTTCTCTCTTTCTCTCTCTCTCTCTCTCTCTCTCTCGAATTTTAATAAAATGGATCTGATACATTGAATTTTCCGTTAAATTTTGAGTTATTAAATAATTAACATAATACGTTAAATAATTAATATTTAATTTTTGTTATTTTCGAGGTAAAAACGAATCACACACAGACTGTTTGATGTACAAAAGTCCTCCAATATCATAGAAATAGATAAGAGTACACGGAGATGTCTCTTCTGTGTACAAGTTTCTTCTTTCTCTCTCTCTCTTTCTCTCGTTCCTTCTCTTTCCATCCTTGATTAGATCAAGTGAGGATTTCAGGCAAATAGCCAAGGTACGTATGTGGGACGATTGATAAGTATCCGAAACGACTCATAGATAGCGACAGTGATATCTATATCGCGCTTTCTCTCTCTCTCTGTCTTGTCGACAGTTTCATCTTTTAGAAGAGCAAATTTCAAATGCTGATCGCACGTAATGTTTGTACGACAACTCGTCAAAATACAGTCGTTTACGGCGATCGATGACTTCATTCTTTTTGGAAAATTGTTTTTCACCAAGTCAGTTTTTCAAATTTGGAAATAAATAGAAATAAATGGAAATTGCTATTTGGCGAATAAGGCAGCAAGCTCACTTAAAAGACACACTCGTAAATTTTCACTACAGTAATAGAAGTGTGAGCGTTGTTAAAAATAACCGAAAATGTTTATTTCGGTGTGATGTCACACGAACTATACGTGCGATAATGAACCGTGTTTGTTTGTTTTTGTTTTTTTTTTTTTTCAGGATGTCAACGACAACAGTGATGTCATTGTTGTTTGCTATCTGTGCGTCGTTTCGGATACTTATCAATCAATCGTCCCTCGCATTTGGTCGCTTGCGTAGATACCGATTTTCTTTGCGTAATACATGCGAACGACAAATGTAATACACATACGATTCCCGACGTTTTCTGTCCTCGGAGGCTCCGTTATAATGTAGACGTATATGCGGCTTTTCGCAACATAATCCCCGAGGTATTTCGCTTGCTTGGCGCGTTTTCGTTTTGCAACAAGCGGACAAAACAACCGCGACCACGCGCAGGGACCGATCGCGACCTCCATTTGCGCGTGTGTTCGATAGCGCGTTGAACTTCTCGTCGTCGACCTATCGCGTTGGCAATCCTTCGAGAAATCGCGGCGAGACGCTCGGAAATGAATGATTATATTTACGGGTTGGCCTTCTGTTATGATTATGCCGGCGGCACTCGTCCGGCGGTTCAAAAAGGAAGTAGACTTTGATCGAGTGTTCGAATCCGTCGATACTTGGCTTCACAAAACACGCACGATAACTCGCTGATTTTATAAAACCAGGATATATTCTTAAGCAGACTTTCTGTTGTTTTTATAAAACCCGAAGACACATTCTTAAATTAAATTAAGAAAAGAATTCAAGAACAAAAGATATATATAGCCGGAGACACACACTCGTAATAATAAATAATCATCGATTTTGTTTTACTTGGTCCAAAGCGTATGTTCAGAAAACAATTTACAGTTTTTTAATGAATTTTGAAATTTTATTCCGCGCGCATAAAGCGCCGAAAAAAGTGAAATATATTTTCCTCATGTTTTTATATTTTATACTTTTTTTAAATCAACATTCGATAAAATTACGCATTTGGAAGACCCGCTCAACTTATAATTTAAAGCCAAAAAAAATTATTGCCTTCATTATAATTCTTTTCCAATAATAATTAATCTTTCTTACTACACATTGTCAAAAATAAATTATTTTACCTTTGATTTATTGTGACAGCGAAAAAAAAACATTCGATGCGAGCGTAATCAAAGACCTTGAGAAAATAAGACATACACAACGATCGACAATTCGCCATGAACATAACAATTAATTATTAATCGGCAATAAAAATCTACGTTCTTGGCGTGAGAAAGAAATAACTTGTTATCTTTATCTTTATTTTAAATAACTTATTATCTTTATTATTGGAAGATAATTTTAGTTTTAGTCTTTAATTCAAACAGTTTTTTTTTTTCGCGTTATTCTAGCTAAAACACGCCACAAATTGCAACAAACGATGTCGATCGAGGCGCGGACATCGCGTTAGCCAGATTTCAGGACAGCGAGGAGAGAATGCACACGGGCTGTACACAACATCGTCGTTTTATGTATTCGCGACGGCGCTCAAGTGAAATTCAATCGCGCGCCGTCGTTGTGTACAACACATATACGTACGATACGTGTGCGAACGTGGCCGTTATAATGGTTCAAGGCCGCGTCGCCGATTCATGGTCGATTCATGGTGAATTGCGCGACGACAACGTTGTTCAATTGTATCGTACAACGCACCGCTTTCGAATAAAAAATTCGGTAGTCTCTGTTAAACGCGATCGTACTGTTATAACATGACGGCAGCCACTGATAATCGTCGACCGACGATTTGTCTCTTTAAAATTTAACGCGTCGAGATTAGATACGATCGCGAAGATTAGATTTGTGATTGACGATTTCAGCGAAATTTCGAAACCGTGTTTATCTCGTAGAGATGACTAATTATCGGTGTTTTTCGATTTACGATATCAGACGTCTGATTTGCTCGCCGATTGCGAGCTTATTACTCACGTTCTTCCACTCGAGTCTTGTTCATTCAATAATAACTGTCGTAGTCTAATTAACGTCTATTAAGATAACCTAATTCTGAAACTTTAGGATCTGTTTTGTCCAGTATCTTTTCAAACTCTCTTCAAAAGTAATTAAAACTAAATTAATCCTTCGCAGATAGACATGGGTCTCCCGGACCCAAAAATTTTTAACCAGTGACTACTAAAAATTGGTTTTTTTTTTTAAAGCTTATATCTTCAAAAATACTAGAGATTTTTTCACTTTGGTTTTTTGTTATCGACGCAGAATCGTTCAAACTTTTGATTAAAAAAAAAAAAAAAAAAACAAACAAACAAACAAAATTGAAAAAATATTGATTTTTGGCGGAGATATTCGAATTTATAAAGTCTCGTAGACTCAGTCTGTCCAACTAGTAGATCGTTTTTGGAGTCTGTTTGCGAAGAGTTAAAATTACATCAAACTTTTGTTTTGTTAAGCAAAGTGTCTACTAATACGATCTCTATTAATGAGAACGTAACTATATGTTCTCTGAAAGAAGATGCCAGAAAAGTTTTGTGAAGTATCACGTCTTTCTCTCACAATCTAATGTGCGTTCTTGTCTGATGTTGTTTGTTTCAGAAGGAAAAAAAGGGTGATCGCAAGGATTGACACTTCGATCCGTCCAAAGTAGTTCTCAGGGTGATTTGTTTCTCGGCAACATGTCGGTGATAATGCAATACATAGAGCGGTTCCACGATATGTTGGACAAACACGCAGGTGAGTGAGCGAGTGAGTGAGTGCGCAGTCGAAGAAGATCACTTCACGCGAATTGAGTGAATTTTTGTTTTGCAAAATCGCACATTGGAAATAATTTGAATGACAATAACAGCAGAGCGAACTTCTCACTTCTAACGCGCACGCAAGTGACATCACCGACTTATGTTATAATTGACGATTACGTAGACGCGCAATAATTTCGAGAGTCGCAAACGAATCGCGGTATTAAAAAACAGATATTTCCGAAGAGTCGAGTTTACATTATTAATGCGCGCGGAAAAATAATGCAAATAGCGCATACTAAATGGCGCATTTGTTTTCTTTTTTTTTGCTTAACGGCTCTTAAAACTGAAATGTTTATGTAATTCTGTGATTCAATCGTTAAAAAAACGTTTATATATTCACAACTTCGGAGATTGTTTTTTGCAGTTTAGATGTTTTATTTAGTTTTTACGACTTGTCATTGTTAGTCGATTGGAGAATAATCTCTTCTGAGATTAATTCTGTTGTTTTAGTCGATTGAAGATTAAAATAATCTCCAATCGACTAAAATAACAGAAAGATTTAGCATTATGCTAAAATAATTTAAATAATGTCGTAAATTATTTTCATTCAGATTCATCTTGCGATTGTTATTATCCAAGAGCAAGACTTGGTTTTTACGCGATTTGCATGTATATCGAGTGTTTTCTCTAGTAAAAAGATATTCGCGCGCAGATAAAACGCGCGCTCATTTGACTTCCGCACTGACAATCGCGGGGCGTTTTACATATCCCACATGGGCGTGCAACTTATATATATGTATATATATATATATATATATATATGCGCGTTCCGTCAAAATGTATTGCACAATTTGTAAAAATTTGTTTTATCGCGTTAGTGAATTCTCTTGTGACGCGAATGTAGTCGCAAACCAACTGTTTTCTCAAAGTTATTACTGTTCTACTTTGGGCGAGCAATAAGGAAATATTTTGGTAATTGTGACGTTGGGGTCGCGAGTGTGTCCCGTGTATGTGATGAGCGAAGTGAAGTAATTCTTTGTATTTCACAAAACACGGCACAATTCTTGCGAGAGCTCGTTTGTTCTCGCGATTTTAGGAGAAGTCAACAATTTCAAGATGTCGAATTAACTCTTTAAACGTTTTGTTTGTTTGTTTGTTTTGTTTTTTTTTAGATACGTATCGTGCAAACCCATGACATTTATGTCCGACGCGATGTTTTTTAATTAAAAAAACGGTTAAAACGTTGGCAAAAACTCTATAAATATTCACGGGGTTTTATTCAACATTCTATAGTGAGGACATAACATTAGTTTTGATATATGTTTTTTTATTTTGTAGAAATTCTTCCATTAAATAGTTAATAAGATTTTCTTATTTTCAAGAATCGCTCGAACATTAATGTCCGAGATTTACAAGAGATTAGGGTTAAGACATCTTTACATCGACTTACAAACATCTTTACTTTTAAAATATTTAATGAAAAAAAAAAAAAAAAAAAAAAAAAAACAAAACAAACTGAGAAGTAGATAAATTAAGCGTTTGAGAAGATCCGCTTCAACAAAACGCATCTTCCAACAGACACACAANTAAATAGTTAATAAGATTTTCTTATTTTCAAGAATCGCTCGAACATTAATGTCCGAGATTTACAAGAGATTAGGGTTAAGACATCTTTACATCGAAATACAAGTATCTTTACTATTAAAATTGTTAATGAAAAAAAAAAAAAAAAAAAAAAAAATTGAATAGCTCTTTATAAACAGCAGTATCTTTCTTTTTCATAATTCATTTGATAATCTTAGACCCTTGTAAATCTTATTTATCATCTTTCAAAGAACATCTCAAGAGAAAAAACATGTATTTACATATTCAATTTGCTGTGGACGTTTCGCAACAATTAAAGTAAAAAAAAAAAAAAACTTAGAGATGGTATTAGCGGTTTGTTAATGTTGTCATAATTGCGAGATTATACTGTGATAATTTGCATCTAACAAGTGTAAATTTTTCTACGATCATGCATTTTGAACTTGGTTCTGCAAATATATTTACACAAAAAAAAAAAAACCAAATATGCGAGTACATATTTGTATAATAGGAAGAGAGTGTTTGTGTGAAATCTATTCTGTTACTTCGAAATCCAAACCGAAGATTATTCTTCATCATTCTTCATCACATTGTCATATTCTATTGATTTGAATATCACTCAATGTGTGTAAACAACCAAGATCTATAAACTGATAATTACATCTAATCAATCAACCAATCAAAAATAAAATCACTCATAGCACACACACACACACACACACACACACACACACACACACACACACACACACACGTTCTGTACGTTCTATTTTACAAAGAAATTGCGTAATCTTCAGCTATCTATATAATTTCTTTGCGCGCGCATACGAGTGTTTTTTCTCTTCATCATCTTGTTAAATCCACGCAGCGAGTTTTGTTCAAAACAGCATTAATTGTGCAACGTACCGCGTGCAAGTATCAATCTACATATAAATGTTGGAAAAAACCCAAGGAAGAGGTATTCGAACTTTCGAAGGATGAGAATGACACGTATCGAGGAAATGACATTCGCAGAATTCACATAAAAGGATGCTCGACCTCGCACCGCATTTTAAGTTCTTGGGTGAGCAAAGAGAACGCTCAAGGACATGGGTGATGTTTTTTACCGCCGCAGATAAATGATGGTCAACTGGATCATAATACGCGCGGTTCTAAGGAAAATAAGTACAACTCGCGTTGTTGCATTCATCCGCGCCTGTCACTTTGCACTGCTGTTGTATACACCGAGGTCATCTCACGCGAGAGCAGAATATTGCCATATTTTTGCGCGGTTTTGCTTATGAGAAAACTAATTACACAAGTTTCGTTTTCTAAAAGAAAGCGTTTCGTGAAAACATCAAGTTTTTGTATGTTCATTGTTTTGTTCACTCATCGTTTTACGCGTGTGGGAAGAATGTTTCCAATATTGCTGGAAAATATTTCAACAACGTATTGCTTGTTTCCGCATTTTAAATCACAATGTCCTTTGTAATTTTTTATCATTTAAAAACACGTAGTCTCATTATTTTTGTGATATTTTCTTGAGAACGTTTTAAACAAATATGTTCGTTAAAATACTTTTTCCAATAGTTCTCAGACATTCTGTATTTGTTTTTTTATTTCTTCGCAGATAAAAGAACGACTAATTGGCTGCTGATGAGGTCACCTTTTCCCACGTTGTTTATTTGTCTTTTTTACGTCTACATCGTCAAGGTGTTGGGGCCAAAGGTCATGGAAAACCGAAAACCTTTTCAGCTTAAGAACACCTTGATAGTCTACAACCTGTTCCAAGTGATCTTCTCCGCGTGGCTGTTCTATCAGGTGAGAGAAACTTAGTTTTTTTTTCATCAAAAAAAAAAAAAA